ACTGCATCGGTTAGAATAGAATTCAAATGATAAACGCTGAAATGTGTATATTTGCAGACGACATAGTATTAATTGCGGAAACAGCAGAAAAACTGAAATACAACTTAGAGAAATGGAACCTAGAAGCAAGCAAATACAACTTAAACGTAAACAAAGAGAAGACTCAGATAATGAAAATATCAAGGAAACAAGGGACGGAAGATCAACTAGAAATAATGATAGACCAACAAAAAATAATACAGACAAATTCATACAAATACTTAGGAACAGTAATCAACAACAAAGGAGACATCGAGGACGATCTTAACAATAGAATGGAAAACACAGGAAAACTATTCCAAGCACTAAATAGAGGATTCCTTAATAACAAAGAAATATCAACAAAGACCAAGATGACAATATACAAAACAATATATAGACCTACAGTGACATATGGAGCAGAAAATTGGATACTAAACAAAAGGCATCAAAGCAGAATTCAGGCAGCAGAAATGAAATACCTCAGAAGAACGATCGGAGTAAAAAGAACTGATAGAATCAGAAATGAAGAAATAAGAGAAAGACTAAAAATCAAACCGATTCTCGAATCAATCAAGGAGAAAAAATTGGCATGGTTCGGACATCTAACCCGGATGGACAATAATAGACAAGTAAAAAGAGTGTGGGACGCCAAACCAATAGGGAAGAACAGAAGAGGAAGACCCATTAAAGAATGACTAAATTAAAGACTTCTTCGCAGTTTCGGCGGTAGAATGTGACTTAGAATGGGAAGCCAATAGTTCGGTGTGGGTCTAATTGTACCTGAGATCATTCGCATTGTCTGGTTTAATTGAGTGTCAATAATCATTGTGTGTTTGCTATTGAGCCATACCGGGGAAGCATATTCAGCCACCGAGTATACAAGTCCGAGAGCGGATGATCTGAGTACGGAGGCTGAAGACCCCCATGTAGTGCCACATAGCTTTTGGACTATATTATTTCTCGTTTTCAACTTTGCTGTCGTTCTTTGAAGATGTTCTTTAAAACTCAATGTTCTGTCCAGAGTCACTCCAAGATATTTTGGTGTTGAGTTATGAGTGAGCAGTCTGTTTTCGAAGTGGATGGAGAGTTTTTTGTTGGCTTGGGCATTATTCAGATGGAAACAGCACACTTCGGTTTTCGTTGCATTAGGCCGTAGCCTCCATTTGCGAAAGTATTCTCCCATAATGGCAAGGTCATCCGCTAATATTGTTTCTGTGATATTCATGTTATTATGTCTTGCTGCAATTGCCCAATCGTCAGCGTAGCCAAATTTCTGCGAAGTTGTCCTAGGTAGGTCCGCGATGTATAAATTGAACAGTAAGGGTGCCAAAACAGATCCCTGTGGCAGTCCATTGCTGAGCTTCATTTGAGAACTTTTAGAATTGTCTATTGTGACTTGAAAAGGTCTGTCGGTGAGCATGTTATCAATGAGTTGAGGAATGAATGGAGAAAGTTTGTCAAGAGCTAGGACACCTCAGAAGATTATAAAATATTGTAATATAAAGAATTGTATTATAAACGGCCCAACACCGAAAGGTACAAATGGGTCTACTGATTAAGTAAAAAGTAATATGGTAATAACCCAACATTTCAATGATCTCGATCTAGAAGTAACATTTTTCCCACTCTTGTCAAATATTTTCAATTCTTGAATGAACTTCGACATTGAATTTAAATAATTTAATTGAATTGCTGAACCTTCATAACAATTTTTATATTTATTGGAATTACCAGTGTCGAATGAGTTTAATATATCAAAAAGAATGTCAAATTTTTGAATGAATTCTATTGTTCCAAGAGCATCTGCAGGTAAATGTCCTAGTGCCATAAATGTGCTCATAGAACTCGAAACTGTGTGGCTTAAAACTTGAGTTGCAAGTTTTACTCGCATCTTCTCAAAATTTGTGGGATATATGTGTGAGCTGGTAAGCTTTGGGGCACACCTATACTGATTTCCCTTATCCTCACGATAGAATGCTTTCACATATGTCCAGGATGTTTTCTTATAACCATCAAAACACAAAATGTTATTTATTAAACTGTTCCTGGTAGCCTTAATTAAATGACATGGGTCATAAATATAAAATAATAATTTATCATCTATAGTAAATTCAGCATTACCAGGTCTGACCCCCAATAATTTACCTAGTTTCATAAAATTTGATCCCATATCTGTGACTAGACAATCAACATACAAACCACATTTAAATAATTTTAAGATGCATTTCTTAATAACAGGACACAACTTTTCTGCCTCAAAGCTAGTATTAACAAAGAAATAGGCTAATGGTTGTTTCCAATTGGAATACAAGCCTCGAGCCATAATAACCAGAATATTTTCTGCAACAAGACCACTCTTCTTTTCACTGCCAATATCACACAATCCAACAACTTCGTCCCGTCCTAAATCAAAATATAAATTACTTTTTAGTGACATTTCGTCAATACATATAGTACAATGTTTATCCTGTTCAATCATAGTTGAAACTTTGATTTTTAATGCATCAAAAATTTGTTCGTTATTTAAACCTGGTTTGCATGATAAATTCTCTGTCATTCTTTGTAAACTTCTTTTTGATGGTAAATATAAAAGTTTACCCATAAATGAATATGCCCTAGGACCTAAAAAGTATAAAGTTAAAGCAAATTGCTTATATTCCTTGGAATACCGTCTTGTTTTCGGTGTTTTACTTCCTAATATTACTTGGGCCTTCACTACCTGGGATAAGGGCTTATTTAAAAATTTATCGCACATTTTATTAATTTCGCTAACTGAATATTTTTCTTTTCGTGATTGTGTTGTAGTGCTCTTATTTAGCTTTAAACGTAAAGACCTGATCTTATAAAGCTTTATTTTTCTTGGAGTATGAGAACTCAATGTACTGGATGTCTGCGTTGATGCCGAGGATGGTAACAGGACACAAGGTTGTTGAATGTACGTTGTAGAAATATCATTTGGGAATGGCTTATCTCCTAAAAAAAATATATTGAAGTATTTTCAAAGTTGCAAAGTCATATGTCTGTCTTCATATCAAATGTAAAATTTTTGACAATTTTTTTCTTTCTACCAATTTGGACAAGGCATTTGTTTGATCATTTATGCCAATGATTAACTTAGATATGTAGTACAACAACAATCTTAGTCGGTGTTTTAATTTACTACGGCTGTTATTAAATAAATTTAATTATATATTTACAATGTTTAAATTTTTTACCTGATATGCTTTGTAGCTGCATTTGAACATGTTGGCTTCAACTTTCCATCTCATGTTCAACATTCATTGCTGGCTCAGCATCTTTTATTCCAAACTTTTGTATAACTTCTGAAGATGCAGCTAAAATTTAGAAATTTGTTATAGTGCAATTAATATTTCAATAGAAATAAAGTTTCTCAGTAAACTGTTAAATAAAAAAGTGGATCATATTAAAGCTAGTCACTATAAAATATGTCTAGGATGACAACCAACTAATTTTTTGTCTCATTTAAATATACACATTTTTCATTGGTTTGCATATTGCTGTATATTGCGTTTAAATGTTTAATACTTACATTCATCAATTAACACTTGGTGAGAATGTTCATCTGATGAAATGTGGTCATCTAGACGTCTCTTTAGATGATGAAATATGGTAGGAACAGCATTTAAAAATAATGACTTTCTGTCCATACCATATGATATACATTTTTTTTCAAAATGCAACTCACACAACGTAAAATGTTTGTACAAGGTTGCAAAACCCTTTTTAAATAAGTCTATCCTATTGGCAGCTCTTAACCAGTGCTCAGCCCTGAAATAGAAATATAAGGTAATAAATTATGGATACAGTAAGATCAAATTTGGAGTTTAAAATGCTGAACATTTACAACTTAGTTGGTAGTATATAGAGACTAGAGTTGGTAGTATATAGATATAGAGATAGTAGTATAGAGACATGCATTTTGGTCCAAACTATAACACAGTGATTAAAGGAAACTAATCAATGCAGTAAAGTAGTGAATGCAGAGAGTGTTTGGTAGTTGAAATATTTAAAATAAATTAGAAATATGAATATTGATGTAAAATACCCAGATATTAATATTTTTTTATTAAATATACCAACATTTATTTTTATATGAAAACAAACGTATTTTTGTTTATTGATTAAATTATTTTTATAACTTTCTTGATTTCTGAACTTCTACCGATTCCACTTTCTGCATTCAATAGTGCTGCTAGATTATCAGCTTGACTATTTGTCACTATATGTAGGACTACCATTATGTATACAAAACAAACTTTTCTATCGACAAAAAATGTATAAATTTGCTACATACCTTTCCTGATTTTTTGGGATTGAAAATAGGCTTAAACCACCTTTTTTGGCGACAGCCGCGATAAATGCACGAATAGCCTCCTTTGCACGTAGCCATTTGATTGAACAGTCAATTAACACTTAACACCAAAGCCTTTGACATTAAAACATATTATAAAATGGCCGACCTCACGCATGCGCATAAAAATTTGGTTCATGAAAATCGTCCTTGTGTCGCTTCTTGTTGTTGGTGTATTCTGTGGTCACGCTCAAAATTCCAGGTCATTCATTCGGCCGTTGTCTGTACCGGTATGACTTGGTCACAATAATAAAATTAAGTAAATTAAAATTTCGTAACATATGACAATATAGAATTATTAGAAATATTAAGTAAAAAGAAAAAATATGTCATTATCGCGACCAAATAATTAATTAATACTGAATATATTTACAATAATATTTACTACGTTTAACTGCAATATGTTTGCATATCAATTGATTATTGTTTTATTTATTTTGAACACTGCGTTCAATTTAAAAACCAAAATAAAACCTAAACTAAACTAAAAATTTATACATCTATCAGTTATTCCAATATTAGACTACAAAATGTTAAAAAGTTGGAGATAAAAATAACATTGCAATCGTCATAATAACAAATGTACTTAAAATACATAAACACTCACGCTCGTGGCCATTTCTGATAAAGTTCCTGCCAGATATTTTTGGTAAGCATCCAACCTAATCCAGGAAAAAAATCTGTCCGATATAGTAAATCAGGTCGCTTAAGATTTATGAGACTTTCTTTTCCATTATCATTCCAGGCGGAAATACACCAAAGCGACGAATCCTTTAATAACAAAGAATACAAACCCAAAAAATATTCAAAAAAATCTGGAGAAACCTCAAGATCATCTAAAACAAACGTTTTATTAATTAGGAAATAAATGGAGAAAATACATGTCATTATAATTTTATCATAATGTAATCTATTAGGTACACCTGCTAATGTGCTTGATCTAATTAAAGTTTTTTGAAGCGAAGGTTCTATACTGGCGTTATATTACATATATTATATATATATATATATATATATATATATATATATATATATATATATATATATATATATGGTTAAAAATAACCAACATTAAATATTTACTAACAGTCAATAACTATTTCTTAATATTTTTCAGAAGCTATTTTCTTGTGACATTTTAAAGTAATTACTATTTTAATGAGAATAAGGGAATAATTAATGGGAATAAGCCAAAATCGTTCTCAAAATCCAAACATTAAAAAATTAAACAAATTTTGTTTTTTGTTACCGTGAAAAATTCTTCTAATAATTTAATTTCTTCTGGCTCATTTATATTGACAATTATTCAGACATATATTATACATTTTAAAGTTGACGATTTTAAAATGATATTGCCGATATTGCTGAGTGGCGTTCCTGTGACGAGTTTATTGTAAGATAGTTCATTCGATTACATGAAATCAACTTTTTACAGGAGAATTTTATTGTCACCATGGCATGTGGTTGTCTTTTTAAAGACAAATTACATAATATGATTTTTTATGACGGATATTCAAGAATTATATGCAAGAATTATTCGAAGTTACAGCACGAAGTCCGACTGAAATAAACAATCCCTACGGCCCAGAAATAACAAATGAAGAAGTAACTATGGCCATTAAAGATGGGAAATCACCCGGAAGGGTGATATTAGAAGCACAGCAAATCACAGCTCTTACGAAGCTATTCAACAGCATACTTACCAAAAGACTTACTGGTTACTTACCAAAAGACTGGCTACTATCAATATTCATTTTACTTCCTAAAAAAGCCAACGCTAGAAAATGTGAAGAACATAGATTAGTACTCCTTACTACCATTCACTAGCGCCTATACACCAAATTAGAAGAACACCTGAGTGAAGTTCAATTTGGATTCAGAGCAGGACACCAATACAGAGAGCCAGTGATGTCAACTGCGATTTGTATGCATGTTTCATTGATTTTGAGAAGGCATTTGATAAAATCCCACATGAGAAACTGATCGATATCCTGAAAACATCAGGACTCGATGGTAAGGATATAAGACTAATCTCAAACTTATATCTCCAACAAAAAACAACAGTGCGATTAGAAAATGAACTGTTCGAGATCTTTATTGTCGAAAAAGAAGTTAGACAGGCTTGCATAATATTGTCATCGGCACTATTTAACATACTCCGAAAACATCTTTATAGAGGCCTTGGACGAATCAGAAGATGGGATTGTTGTAAATGGCCATCTTATAAACAATTTTAGATATGCAGACGATACATTGTCGCTGGCAGATAGTACGCAGGGGCTCCAAAGGATGATGGATAACGTTGTAGAAACATGTAACAAATACGGCCTAAAACTAAATTGCAAGAAGACAAAAATAATTATCAATAGTAAGAACACCAACATAAAGGCCCGAATTACAATAGGTGATACACCGTTAGAAAGAGTGGCAAAATATGCTATTTGGGCTGTAATATTAAGGATACTTGGGACCACAGCTACGAAATAAAAACTCGTATTCAAAAAGCCAGAAGAATCTCTTTCAACAGTCTTAGGAAGATTCTCTGCAACTTATCTTTAAGTATCAATATACGCATAAGAATTCTTAGATGTTACGTCTTTAGTGTCCTCCTCTATGGAGTAGAAAGCTGGACCCTTACAGAAGATGTCATAAAACGATTGAGGCATTTGAAATGTGTTTTTCAAGGGAAAAACCGTAGATGTATGTCGGAGTAAAAGGTTACTTTTAGCGTCGTTCAAAAGCCTCTAGTAAGAGGTTTTTGAAGACCCTGGTAGCGTACCAGGCTGTTATTTTAATTTTAACGGCCAAATACTAGACTGCATTTCATTTCAGTTTGAACTGCCCAAGCGTTCCTGACGATTTGAATAACTCGAAACACGTGTAGAGCAATGGTGGGATTCGAATTGAAATGTAATCTATATATATATATATATATATATATATATATATATATATATATATATATATATATGGAAAAGGATAATGTGAGTGAATAATAAAAATAAAAGTAGCGATCCTTTCCCAAGTTAAAATGCTCCTTTTCTAACTTGGCTGCACCGTACTGAAGACGACCAATAATCAGAAATACGTATATACGGTTGCCTTCCATCTATACACCATTTTTGGTTTTTAGTTTTGCGAGACATGCCAGTAATTTTAACTTATATATATATATATATATATATATATATATATTGTATAATCTAAATATAAATATATAATATATATATATATATATATATATATATATATATATATATATATATATATATATATATTACTAACTAAAGTCTTATTCTTAAACCAATCATCCCACCTTTTTCAATCTCATCTAATCAAAACGCTTCATACATCTCCCATTTCTTCATTTCAATAACACACAAATTTTTACCTACAATTATAAAATTTCCTAAAACTATTTTACAAAATAATCGTTTCCTGCAATTCCTAAGAACTAACAAAAACATATCTTTCTAAATTTTATTCTATTGTCCTAATTACTGCCCAACATTTATTTGGAAAAACCGCTTCCATTGTCTAGTGTTTCACTTAAGCTTATGCAGGTCACTCAAATATATTTTAACAAAGAAAATAATTTATGCATATCTTACGTTTTGTTCAATACAGGTAATCCAAAAATTTAAAGACTTTCCTTCTTCGAAATGTTGTTGTTTATTTACTACTTATCTGAATTATTTTTTTGGAACTTTGAAATATTTTAAGCAAACCAATATTTTTCTCGATTTTACATATCATAACAATATATATATATATATATATATATATATATATATATATATATATATATATATATATATATTGTTATGATGTGTTGTTGTATGAGCTATGAGTAAATTTGAATGATATATGTAAGTATAGGGTTTTTATCGCGGTTCTCAAAGAATTAGTTTGTAAGTATTTTTTTAAATTATCTTTATTATAACTATTATGAAACAAACCTATCTATCTAATATAAGCAATATCAATTTACAACAATCTATCTAAAATTTGAAATTCTTACAATTATTAAATTATTAACAAAATTTGGTACCTTCTTTCACTGAACGCCTAAAGTTTTTTCCAAAATTAAAGTTATTATCACCACTCGATATCTTCTTACTAAGCCTTGGTTATCCAACTATTTTAATAGGTTCCTTCTTAATTATCTCCTCACCATATAAATATATATATTTAACTCCTTGTAATTTCCATATAGTGTACTTTGAAATATACTGGATCTTGTGGTTGTATTATTGAATGCTTATTTCAATGAATTAACTTCAAACTGTCACTATATTACTGTAGTAATAATTAACTGTATTTCATTTAATAATTCATTTAAATTAATCAATGCCTTCTTCTAGCTAATAATCTCTTCAAAACCTCATAAATCATTCTTCTTTGTAATTAATAATCACATGTAACTGACTTAATAATAATAATAATTAACTTAATAATCTTCTTGTAACTAAATTCTGGAATTATAACTTTACTGAATCACTTTACTGTAACTAATCATAATCTGTAACTAACTGACTACTGATAACTGAACTGAACTCTAACTCAACTGAACTTTAACTAACTTCTACTGAACTCAACTTTCCTCTTCAAATTACATGGCTTTTTATATGTTTTTCATTGTTTCCAGAGTAATCTAGCAACAAATAATGTTCGAATCATTCTATTTGTTCTATCTGAAAATTCTGGAATCGTTTTTTGTCTGTTATGTACTATGCATACAGTCCTATTGACATTTCCAGAACTTTCCATTTACAATTTACTCGACTTTAGGCTCTCCAGATCAGAACTATACTATTATATGTAACTTAAACATTCATATGAAATATATTTTTACTATTCTACATCCACAATTATATTCTAAATTAACATTACAAAAATAAATAACCCCACTTTTCCATCTAAACGTCAAAGAACACAGTGTATGTTTGGTTGCATATGTACCTGGCTGAATTAAACATTTCTAATATTAAATAAAATAAAATAAAAAAACTTCTTAAACTTAATTCTTATGGTAAATTCTTAAAATACCCTCATAGAATTATTTTTTAATAATATTATCTAGTATATAACTTATAAATTATGTCTTTAATTACTATTTGAATAAATTTATTAATTAACATTGTATATCTGATTGTATATATTTTTATGTTGATTTATTGCATTTCTGCTCTCACTACAATATATATATATATGTATATATATATATATATATATATATATATATATATATATATATATATATATATATATATATATATATATATATATATATAAAACACAGTTAGGACTGGTCAGAAGTTTGGTCGGAATGTTAAAGAAACACTCTTTTGACTTTTTGTCTAGTTTTCGGAATTGTTTTATTCCTTGACACTGTAATAAAAATATATGTAAATAATTACAAAATATCACAATTCGTCAGTGCAACTTACTAGTCATTGAGATTATTTATAAAAAGCTTTGACAAACACACGTATAAAATATAAAATAATGGACAAAATACCTTCTAAAATTTTTTAAAATTTAGGCAAGGATAGTAAAACTTAGTTTATGACATCTTTTGATTGTGTGTTTTAACACTGATACATAGAGAACAGAGCGAAAAAACAATATTATTAAAAAGTAATTAGGTATTCTTAATATTATATTTCTTTTCAGGAGGCCCATCTTGGGTAATTTTACTTTTTAATTTTTAAACCTGTCTTAATGGTATGCAACATGTTATGCATACAGGTGTATTATGGCGTGTATATGTAGAGGTAAATATACACGTTATAATACACCTGTATGCATAACACGTTGCATACTATTAAGACAG